CACACACACACACACACACACACACAAAACAACAGCAAAACAAAACAAAAAAAATTAAAATTCAGGCTCCATAATTATTGTTTAGATTATTATCTGCTGGCCATCGGATCATCCCTGCAGTTTCATTTTTCATGGAATGGCCCAGGAGTACATCGACTCGAATCTTTTTTTCCTGGATAAACATGACGTGAATAAAATGTTCGTTTTTCTGCACTGCTCGGCAAACTCGTTCAGCTTTATTTATTTATTTTTAAAAAATTACAGTAGAGGGTGTTACCAAAGATAGTTCCGTAGGGTGTAGTATCTTTGGTGTTACGGCGCTCGCAACTGCATAAGGTCATATGAGCGCCTAAGGGGTGGGTGTCAACAGAGAAGACTTTACAGGGAATCAGACTTACTCTGCTCACCTTTCTAGCTTCAACAGCACAAGGTCTGCTTCGACTATCAAGGCACCCCGGAAATAGCAGGTCACAAGAGTATGACAAACATACAAAAGAAGGAGAGAAAAATGACAATAGTAAGGATTATAAAAGAAAAAGCAGCAGTTCCCTGTTGGAGACCAGGCACAGTTATGAGTTGACATGATGAATCAGTCCATTTACCTGTCCCCGTAGGATTCGGCCGCGTTTTTTCGCATAATTCTGCAACATTTGCATAATTTTGGATTCCCCGCGTTTTTTCACGTTTTTATTATTTTTTTTTCAGAAAACAATTAAAAATTAACGCCTCTCCATGTGACTAAAGGGAAGTAATTACAGTAATAAATCTCATTTTAGTGAGAAGCTGGTTATTTCCCTTGTTAGAAGATCTTAGTTATGGCAGAGAGTTTACAGTAATACTGTATTACTGTAAACCCTCTCTGGTTATGGGTTGGGATTGTTCCTTAGAGTATGTTCAATTTTTCAATCCATCAAACGTTTTTGTTCTCATGTCTGCTGATGTTTCATGTTTGACAGGTGTCCCTGTTTTTAGTAATGTGCCAGCATCAGAGGCCCAGATGTTCTTTTTTTTACATTTAAAAAAAAAACATTTTTATTTCCTCTATAGAGATCTAGATCTACAGCTGAAAGTTACAGAGATTATATTTTTTGGTTGTTTTTTTCTGACTGATGTGTATTGTTTTCTTTCCAAATACACAACAAAGTACTGATACTGATATGTTCTGTTTTCAATTTTTCTGTACATAAAAATGAAAATCATGAAAATTCTTGCTGAAAAAGTGCAAAACATGTCGCGAAAGGTGTTACGGTAACTTGCATAATTTTTTTCATAATTTTGCTTTTTTGTGCATAATTTGGCCATCAAAATTTGCATAATTCTACGGGGACAGATTTACATTTCTACTGTGCTTAAACGAGAAATGTCCCCCTTTTGGGAATGGCCTAAAGACACTACTGTCAGTGGCTCTGCCCCGGGGGGTCTCGTTCAGTTTGGAGCGTCGAAAGCAATAGGCCTAGATCTATATACTTTTTTTTGTTGTTGTTGAAAATACATGTCGTACTGGTACGTATTGCCATGGATGCTGTAATAATTTCAAACGTTTCTTTGTTCATTTTGTTAGTGTAAAAGTTTTATAGTTGACAACCTGCTTCCACTTTATCGTACTTTTTTTGCCTTAATGTTGACAAGTCTCACTTATTTTTGGCAAAAATCAGTACTGTTGGTCACACGGTCGAACAATTTACGTGATCCGAGCATCGCACAGACCTACAACTGAAATAAAGAAAAGAGACTAATTAGAGAAACATCGTGGTGGTGGTGGTTTAGGAATAAAAAGGGGGGGGTTGTGGGAATTCAACCTCATATACCCCATTTACCAGAAGGAATAAATCTGCTTTATTTCTCCTTCGGTGAATAAGAAGAACAAGAGATCATGAAATTTTTAGTGATTTTAGTAATATAAACTGTGACAACGTCTCCCATTAGGAACAAACCAGTTTCACTTAAAAAAATATAAACAAAAGTGTACAAAAGTTTTTAAATGCACAGAAAATTGAGGTAACCAATCCAATATCCGTACAAATACTTACAAGGATAATTTGCCATTTATATACATGTATTAAAAAAAAGAGAAAGAAATGTCATTTAGATATCAAGATTCATAATGTTTCACATGATCGTCGGTCGTGGCAAGCTGGAAAATAATAAACAGGGGGTGAATAAGAAGCGCGGGG